GTCCTACCTGTTATCTCAGTGTAGGGATGTCTCCCCACTGGCTGTGCAGCAGGGTCAAGCTGGATTTCTGTATCCCACAGACAGGAACACACTGGGCTCCTTCTGGTATACAGCTTTCTTCAGGAGCCTCCAAACCTAGAGCCACAGAGGTGCCAAGACATACTGGAGGCGTCGATGCAAAAGTATTGTAGATCCCCATGAAGCCTCTCATTTGCCGACTGTATTGTAGTCCTGTGCTTAAGGACAAACGGCCTCCAGAGGCTCTACACAAGAGTCTTTAAAAAAATAGAAAGATTAAGCAATGTAGAGGTTTATGGAGTCGCAAAACACATTCACCATCACCAATTAGATGTGCAATGCCAACTTACTTCACAGCTTCAGCTCCTCGGCATGACTTACCAATGACCTAGCACACACACATCTCCCCCTGCTGGACAGCATCACTTACTGCAGCCCCAAGTCATAGCACAGCTTGTGAAGTCCCACAGACGATCAACCCACTTCAGTAATACTGTCCTGGTCGCATTTTCTAAACTACTGCCATCTTGCTCTTCTCACCAAACAAATCCCAGTACTCTAGAAGCACAGGAACATTAGAAAACCCACACTGAATAATTATCCTGTTCCTCTCCAATACAAAGCACAATATAAATACTTTCCTCCCAAACTTCACTTTTATAAGCCTCTTCATTAATTACAGGGGCTGGGCTAATTCCATGGGAACCTATCCCAAAGCTCTAAAATCCTCATGTGGAATGCCCAGGTGTGTCCACTCGGTAGTGCACACCTGTTTCCAGATCCCTGCCTGCTCAGAAGCCATCTTGGCTCAGAGAAACACCACAGCCTGGGCTTGAGCCAAAATGGAAGGATCCTACAGAAGCCTTCTAGGGACACCATGACTTTGCTTTAATACATTTTCCTTCAACATTATTAGAAGTGTGTTCTTTCTAAACATATTCAGCATACCATACCTCAATCTATTTCAGAAATAGATTAAGAGAGAAAGATAATTATTTGATTATGGTTTATATTTATTCCTTATACAGATTTGTGACTTTAACTCTTTAATCACTTCTGCATCCAGAATTAATTTTCTTCATATATCAGAACACTTGACAATGTCTGCTATGATTGGAATGGTGTTCTCAACTGATGTATCGCAAAGGAGAAACTCAGTGCTGCAGACTCATTATAAAAACATGCTTTGCTATTAGAGTCCTCTGTATTTAAAAAAATAATAGTGATTGATGAGAGTGTTGTCATTTTACTTAACTAAGGAGTTTGAGACAATACTTTGAGACGGAGAATTTGCTTTCCAATATTTTTGATGCCCTATATTGGGTGATGATGTTTTTAACCTATTGAACAGCTTCCTTCCATTTTCACTGAGAATTGGTCTAATGGTTTGATTTGTTTAAACTAGTAGGGTGACTTTTCTAAATAATCAGTAGAGTCTGAAATAATTCTTTATTTGTTTCTCTGTGTGGTTTTAGTTTTTCCTCATGTACTCAAACAACCCCGTCACCTCTGAGCTTTCATTTTCATCCTTTGATTTCTGTAAATCCTTTCTCTCCTAAAAAACTGGCATCATCGTTTCCTCCTGGTCTCCCCTTCGTAGACACAACCCATTATTAATGGATTGGTGTTACTACTTTTACCATTTTGAAAAATCCAGGGATGTGAAGGACCATGAACATCTTCCTCCACAGTGGTCACCTATCCCCTCTCAGAAAGACCAGAAACTTGCATGAAATGTATTGTTAATCTAATCCCTGCCAGAGGAGCATTTACAATAAACTAACACAGGGGTGTGAAGACATATAGCCCTCTTTTTCTCTGAGATTCACTGGATTGTTTCTGGCATACAAGTTGTAACTCAGATCTGCTCACATCAGTTCAGGTCCATCTCCCAGCAGGTTGCTTTAGTTTGCCAAAGCACATTCCTTGTGATCCAGATCCATTGGATCCTGCATTTACTTTCTTACTGAGCTTGACCACTAACCTCTTTGATGCTTGTTTGACAACAAGCAGCCCCAGGCCTCTCCAAAGTTACTCTCCCACAAAAGCTCTACAGCCAGCCTCAGCCAGGAGACTCTATATTCTCCATTTCTCTGAAACTCAGGGATGAGAGACTGGCATTTCCTGAGCTTTCGATCATGTGCCTCTGTTCTCTTCCCCAGGGCACTGTCAATTCAATGAGGTCTCCCAAAAGTCAATGTCAAGCTGACTATTGACTACTGACTATTGACTATTGATGATGGTTAGACTTTGGTGTGTCCTGAGATGTTGCATTAAAAAAAGCAGTTTAAAAATAGATGTCTGGCTGTCAATCATTGTCATATAAATGTAATTGTGAGTTTATTTTTATAGTTTTAACCACAGCCATGACCATTTCTTCTGGTTTTTGGATATGGATGTATTAAAGGTCACATTTTGGGTTCTGAAATTCAAAATTATTGATGCTACCGGGCTGTGGATTTCTCAGGGAGATCACCTCCATAACCATAGCCATATCTAACAGTGTTTCAGTCTTCATACCCATGACCCACAAATGATGTGAAAACATTACTGAAGTGTCTCAAGGAAAACAATGCCCATGTTATTTTTCCAATTCTGTTTGAGTAACTCAAGATCTATGCATCTCAGCCAGTGACAACTGCCACTGTGGGAAGGTCCTTTTCCAAACTGATGTGTGTGAAGTCCAAGCAAAGACAGGCTGTCTGACCTCTTGCTGCTAGCCACAGAGAAAGATATCAGGACAGACAGTAATGAGGCCATTAATATATTTAAGAACATGGCTCACAGAAGGGTACTCTTTAAAAAATAAAAGTAGTTATGTGGTACAGTATGTACAGAATGTGTAAACACTATACAAATAATGAAATACAGGAAAACTTTATTTTATACTGCTAAATTGCTTTTCGTTGTGCTTATTGTTTATGTCTAGGTTTTTAATTGCATGTGTCCTTTTAAAATTGTGTGCTCATTTTCCATTTTTCCCTGGTAGAGGGTTCTGTGCATGACACTGAAGGCTGTTTCTGAGTTCTCTCTGGTACTGTGTATCTAGCAAGCAGGTTACATATTTGTCTGTTCTTATTTGGAATGACTGTAACCTACACAAAATGTGTGATTGTGCTTTTTGCATTTTCAGCTCCATGAATTATTTGTACTGGCTCCATGCATTTCTAAAAGCTAAGTTAGGCACAGTTGAATTTGTGTGCTTTCAGATGAATGCCTTTAAACCAGGTTTCATGAACTAGCAACCCAGAAGTGGTAACTGAAATGAGCACTGGTCCTAACTACGTATTTAAAATATACTCTCAAATTTCTTACTGATAAGGACAAGGGTCGGTGGAAAGAAAACTTGGTACTTGACATACTTCATTTTTACATTAGTCATTTCTGTTATCTGTATTTAGTAAAGCTGAGGGCAAATGTTATTCTTTTTCTGAATTATTTTACCATGTTCTTCTGTTTTTGCACTCGTGACTTTGTTCATAAGTCATGGAAAATAATTTGTAATGCTTTTTTTTTTACTTTGTGACATGTTTATGGTACGTCATATTTACGTTATTTCTACACTTGCTATTTCGTTCAGGTGTTGTTCAAAATGCCCTGCACTGAAACATGCCTAGGTGTTGGCCCTTTCATCATCGAAGAGCTCCAAACAAGCTTACCTCTTAAAGTAAAGGAACCTCAATCTCCAAGAATGACTGTCACCTGAGTCTTTGCAAATTGGTTCTGTATATCTAACAGAAATCCTTGCACAGCCTTCTAACATCTCAAAGATTGAAATATGCTTTTACCCCATCCTCTCTGGCATGTGCAATAAGTTTTATACAGACATCCCAGAGAGACAAGATGAAATAACATGACCCCGTGCAGCTCACATCACATCAACTACAGAGAGTCCACATGCGCCAGAGACTCCACTTGTTTCCGCCCGTCTCTTTTTAATCTTTTTCTTCTTTTATCAGATACAATGAAATCATTCACGGATATTTCTCTTTGTTTGCAATTCATCTATTATGAATAAGATTGGACTAAGGGAGATAGGAGAATAGCTCTGTTCTTACAATAAAAATGCTCATGGTCATGAAAAGGTTCTAGGTTCAGGGTCATGTATTCAAAAAAGGTTTTCAAAATGAGCTTGACAATGCAGTAGTATGTCTTTCTAACATACAGTAAGACACTAGGTGACTATGACATTATGCTTAAAGTAACAGAGGGGTTTGACATTTTAATTTTTGGTGGGACTTTCTACCAAAATCGAGGAGACCTTGCAGTCCTATGGTTAGATCTAGATAATTCCAAAATGTAATCCTTACATTTTGGCTCAAGCCCAGGCTGTGGTGTTTCTCTGAGCCAAGATGGCTTCTGAGCAGGCAGGGATCTGGAAGCAGGTGTGCGTTATTGAGCTGGACACACCTGGCCGTTCAACATGAGGATTGTCGGGCTTTTGGGATAGGTTCCCATGGAATTAGCCAAGCCCCTGTAATTAACGAAGAGGCATATAAAAGTGAAGTTTGAGTGGAAAGCATTCATATTGTGCTTTGAATTGGAGAGGAACATGAGAAGTATTCAGTGTGGGTTTTCTAATGTTCCTGTGGCCCTGGAATAGTGGGATCTATTTGGTGAGAAGAGCAAGATGTCAATAGCTTTGAAAATTCAACCAGAACACTATTACTGAAGCCAGCTGATCTGTGGAATTTGACAAGCTGAGCTGTGGCTGGGAGATGCAATAGGCGATGCTGCCAGTAGGGGGAGCTGGCTGTTCTTCTGTACAGCCTCTGGAGGTACTATGTCCCCTCTGCATAAAGGGGGCTTCATGGGCATGTATAATACCTTGCATTTATCCACAGTGTATGTCTTATCATGATGTTGTGGAATCTAATCTTTGTCACAAGAACCTCATTTCAAGGGACTAGGTTTGGAGGCTCTTGAGTGAAGCTGTATACCAGGAAGAGCCCAGTGTGTTCCTGTCTGTGGGATACAGAAACCCAGCTTGACCCTGCTGCACAGCCAGTGAGGAGAGATCCCTACACTGAAATCCCAGGTAGGACACTGCTGTACTCGGCTCAGCTGTTGAAAGGGTTAGCAGTTTAAGGTACTCTGGATAAAAGCAACAGTCCAACACCCCAGTCCTTTTGTGCTAAAGGGAGCTTCCTCACAGCATCTCCACTGAAGAGGGTGTGGTGTGGAGATCCTTCAATTATGTGGGTAAGGTTGAGGAGCTCTCTATGCCTGAGAGTCCAGAGTGTGACTGGCCTAGGTAGGAATGTTGCTGGTATTGAACTGTGTTTCTGAGACCATGTTACAAAGTCAGAACTTGGTCATGTAACCTCTTTCCTTGCCCCCTGCAAGAAAGTGCCCGGTAGATCACGTTGGAAGAATGGAGGCTGGCAACTGAAACTCCCCAACAGGAATGGGACATCCTCCACACTGCATCTGTAATGTGGAACCAAGATGTGGTTTGTATGCTGATCCTCTGACCTTCTGTCAGAACCTTGACCCAGATCTTGTAGCAACTGTATTGTCTGTGCAATAAAGTGAAGGTGTCACTGGAAGTCTGTTGTGTACAGCCATTAACTTCTATGAACTGTCCTCTGGTGTTGTGGTAGCACTGTATATTCTCCAGTGCTTTATTGATCTGGAGATCAGTGGAAGGATAGTAGATAATAGTACCTTCAAGGGTAGCTTTTCTTAGGCAACAGCGTTACCTGGAGGAGAATGGCTATATCTTAATCTGTATATGGAGAAAGTTGGAGAGGTCTCCTGTTTGGTCTTGGAGATAAATCTTGTACTAACACTTGAGCTTCAGTTATGCAGATATCACACCTGTAATGCACAAATTTAACTAGCCTGAGCCCTGCAACTGCAGACGTCTACTAGTGTGGACAGGACATATTGAATAGCTTGAGAGGTGCAACTACAGAAGAACCCTGGTATGGACAGGACCAAGGGAGCACAGGCTTGTCAGTGCTGCTACAGCACAGCAACCAAGGTGCCAAGCTGGGAGATGACGGGGTCTCCTGGCTGGAGTGGGCCTGTTCCACCTCAGGTGTGGCAGCTTCTGCAGGCTGGTTTCCTTCTTCAAAGGTGCGGAGTAGCTTAACTGGCATGAATCCTGAAAATGCCCTGCAATCCTACCTGCCTGCCCAGGCACCTCCAACCCCTTGGAGATGCCTTTTCTGTAACCGGCTGTACTAGAGCAGGGATCTCCAGTCCTCATCCTGAAAACTGCGAATGGAGCTCAGTTATACAAAGCAACCACTATCTAACTATGAGCACTGGAGGAAGATCTTATGCTGCTTTGTAAGTGCATCACTCACTGATGGGAGATCCTTGTAGGGTCTTCTGGGTTTTGTTGCAACTCTTTCAAATTTTTACACCACCTGGGTGGTTAGTCCAGGTCCTTAATGGTCATTTAATAAGTGTAGAACCTGCTGAGCTCGGACTCCCCAAAAGCAGGGGTGAGAGCGTTTCAGCTTCATCTAGAGCACATACAGTTTTGCTAAAGTGCAGGGATGGAGTACATTTATTTTAGTAATTTAGATTTAATTGGAAATACTTAGACTGTGAGACGAGAGCTATACCCTAACATTTCAGGATCTAACTTATCTTCATGCTCAGAAGGGTTTTGACATATTGACATTTATCCTACTGCAGTCATTTCGCTACTGCACAAATCTGAAGTAGGCTGTGCTTTGCATATTCCAGCAGTATCTGGGGATATGAGAAATGAATTGAATGGGTTCCAGTTAGTCTAGACTGGAATTTAAAAGTAACAAGGTTAACATCCCTACACTTTAGGCTTCATGGACATCCCTTAAACATATCATCCAAATGACTGAACCTCTTACAGAGAGAGGTAAGATAGAAGAGCACCTACAGCTCTCTCCCACCCCACTCACTACTTACCATAACAGTCTTGTTTTTCAGGATCTGTACCAGTCCTGAGTAGACTCAAATGTGCATAATATGAGATCAAGCTACAAGGTTTTAATACTGTTGCTTGTTTTTTTCCCAGATATGATTCCTGGCTGAAGAGGTGAGGAGGTTTTATTGGAGAAAGCTCCAGAGACAAGCTCTGTCAGCTGGGGAGGCTGGAGTATTCCTATTGGTCAGTTGCTCATATGCCGAGGAGCTGTTTGCATTGGTTAATAAGAGGCATATATTCAATTTCTATTGACCAGACGTAAAGATCTGAGCAGCCAATCAGATTGTTTTCTAGGTAGCCAGTGACTAGATGCTAGATGACAATCTTCATACACTCCAGGCAGGTGTGGCCGCCATAGTGTGTTCGTATAGTAGAGAGTTTTAAAAGTGTGGGACTCACAAGTCAGTGTTCTTGTGGTCAGTGAAGCAGAAGATTTTAATGACTAACTATAAATCAAGTAAATGCAGTAAAAACCAAGTTAAAAGTACATCATTGTCTAAAAGGAATTAAATTGCATGTTATCCTAGTGCCCTTACTAAATTACAAAAAATAGTTGTCAGCTGTTGCCTACACCTGAAGTGCTTTGACATTCATGCAGAATTGTTACAATTGGAACAGTCCAGTAGACGTCCTGTACAGATTATACAGCCACCATTCAAACACAGGACACAAAATGAAGAAAACCCAGACTTCCCCATATCAGGAAGTCTGAGCATAGCTTGACCTGGACATGCATGCAGAATTCCACGATTTGCACCAAGAGCGTGCATATGAGATGAGCTATCT